GCAGGACCGCGAGGTCCCGCAGTCCGTGTACTCTGGGGCAGCCCCGTTCGTAACTGCGGATCCGACATAAGTCGGATCCACGTAAGTCGGGGACTGCCTGTATATTTTACGAGAACTTCACTAAAGGCTTGATTTTTGTTTAATATTAACTGGTAGACAAAACTAAGGCTGTGGACTTCTTAGGTTAATCAGTAGGTGAATGATCACAAGGAATCAAATAAAGTGGCTGTTGATTTAAAATCATTAAAAAAAAATCACAGCAAAGAGAGAGACAGTGAAATATTTTACATCTAATATTTGAATCAAAGCATTACAAGAACACTACATGAACAAATCCATTTCAATCACATTCTATCTACAGTACAATGTCAATGGCTTGATCTTTCTCCCAAAGAAGTCGCTGTTTACTTTAATGAGTACAGGACTAAGCCTTTATTCTTTGTTTGTTCATTAAATACATTTAGTAGACAACTAGCTATTGGTGGAGTAGAGGAATGGCAAATCTTAAAATCTTCAGTTTCTAATAGTGGCTTATGCTCATCTTCACTTGACTACAATAGTTCATACTAGATTAAAGTATTTAAAATTGATTACAATGCAATATATGTCCTGTTAAACCTTCATGAGCTTTTTACATCACTTTCAAGTCAAAAAGTTTGTTCCAACACTCAAAGAAAAGTTTATGATCCTCACCAGTGTTTGGCTTTGGAAAAAGATACATATAAAAAGCTATTAACTGAAATGTTTTACAACTAAATGTTTCAGTAACCATTGGAAAAAAGTTTGAACTATTAAATAGGAAAACTTTAAATAATTTTAAACACATTGACAAGACAGATTATGTTCCAGCGATTCATTATTTGAGAACTGCTCTTTCACTGTTTTGCAGCTGAGAACAGTGATACAATCCATTATGAGCCAACATTTTTTCCTTTACTGGAAATGTGTGTCAAAGATTTTCTGTTAAGTATAAAAGCTTTTTCCACTTGTCACTAGGAAGAGTATACAGAAAGCTCTTCATAAATGGATGTGCATGTTTTAGGATTATGAAACCTCATAATGCAGTTCACGAAGCAGAAAGAGTACCTGATACATACTGCAAATTGTGGTATGTTCCCTGTTTAAGAATGTTTGTTTTCTGACTAAAAGCAGAACAATTCCATGGGCATTGCAGACCAGCGTAAGTGAATGAAAGCAGCAATTTAAATGTACTCAACACTGAGGGTTTGGTTGCATTCAGATCTGCATCATTTTAACTAGTGGATGATTGTATACATAGTTACCGTAACTTAGCAAATATAACACCCACGGGTTATATTCGTTTTTACAAACCCCGCACCGTACCCCTCCCCCCTCAGCGGGCTATAGTCGTGAGTGGGTTATATAGGGTTTGTTTGTTTTTTTAAAAACAGAAATGGCAGCGGATCCCCTCCCTCTCCCCCTCCCCCTCCTTTCACTACCTTTGGCGGGCTGGGTACCGAACAATGAGGGGAAACTTACAGGGGGCGCAGCAGCCGGGAACTCTCCAGAGCGGGGGCAGAGGCATCCCCAGCAGAGGCGCAAGGCAGGAGGCTCTCAGCCCGGGCTGACAAAGGGAAGGAGCCCGGAGCAAGTTGCGGGCACGGGGCAACACATTTAAAAACATTACTTTATTGTGCAACTAGTAAAAGAAGAAAAAAAAGGCTTCGCATTCTCATTCACTATGATCTAAAAGCTTTAAAAGTTTGAAAAGCTTAAAAAGGGTAAAGATTTAAAGTTTTTAAAAATTTAAAATGCTACAAGTTAAAATCAGTTACTGAATAAGTGGTGTTGTTCAAAGGGGTTATATATCCCTTAGGGTATGTCTACACTGCCACCCTCGTTTGAAATAGGGTGGCTAATTAGTCATTCGAACTTGCAAATGAAGCCCGGGATTTAAATATCCTGGGCTTTATTTTCATGTTCCCGGGCGCCGCCATTTTAAAATGCCCCGTAGTTCAAACTACCTGCCCTCAGCGACAAGCGACATGGGCTAGGTAGTTCGAATTAAAGCTCCTAATTCGAACTGCCGTTACTCCTCCTGCATTACGGGGCATTTTAAAATGGCGGCGCCCAGGAACATGAAAATAAAGCCTGGGATATTTAAATCCCAGGCTTCATTTGCAAGTTCGAATGACTACATTAGCCACCCTAGTTCGAACTAAGGTGGCAGTGTAGACATACACTTACTGCTCCCCGTTATCAGCTGTGGCTCATTAACAGCTTATTACAGGAACTTTGCATTACCATCATCAGCTGCTGCTCATTGACAGGTGATTAAAGGGGCTTTGTAGTACCATTATTCACTGAGTCTCTCCTGCGGGCTATAGTCATGTGCTGCGCGAGGTATACAGGGATTCCTAAACTCAAAAGGGAAAAGCCAAGGGGTATACTCGGGTTCGGGGTTTATTCGCTAAATTACAATAATTGAAGCAATGTTGAAGATTGGGGTCACATTTATTTTGGTTTAACTTAAATTGATTAGGACCAGATTTAAACTAACTTTGGTTTAAGAATAGCATCTCAGGTAAGTGTTCTCATGGGATTTGTACTGCTTTAGCTAAATTGGTGTTTAATTAAAAAGGTGTCAATTCTGTACATAGAAAAGACCTATGAAAGCAAGCCAAGTGTTTACATTACAATTGCATCATTCTGAATTTTTTTTTTTTTAAAGAAAGAATTGTCATCTTGCACAATTTAATATTATAGTATTTGCTTGCCGTGTTGCTGTAGTTGTGTTGGTCCCAGGAAATGAGAAAGAAGGTGGGTGAAGGGATAGCTTTTCTGTTGGGGGAACAGAGAACTTTTGAGCAACACAGAGATCATGAAGAAAAGCTCCAAGCATCTCGAAAGCTTGTATCTTCCCACCAACACAAAGTGGTCCATCCAGAAGGTGATTTACTACAGTTATTACCCCACCCACTTTGTCTCTATTATAACATTTTACATTTATTATGGATAACACATTTTGTATCCAACTATTGAGTACTTAATGTCAATCATACATATTTGGAATGAATTTGGTGTCATTTACATAGCCATTACAAAAGCAGAAGAGAAACTACTTACTGGTTGCATAGCTCTGGCTGTCTAACTAAACTTTGAATGAATTCATTCAGTCCTGCTCTTCTCTGTTTAATGAAATCTGAGAAGGAGGGGAAAGTAGTTAGAAATAATAATTCAAAGAATTGATACAAAATAAGTTTTTAATTTTTACATCACTAACTTCCATTAAAGTAAACTGGAAAGTGTCTGACTAATTGGGATTGCACATGATATTGTATGGAAAAATACATGAACTGGGAAAGAACAGAAGCTCTAGTCTCTATGTAACTTTTTCAGTATTTCGTGTATTTTAAAAAGCAAAAATGTACTCAGCCCAACACATGCACATGCCTCAAGAATTCAAAGTTTGTAGTCACAATGGCTTAGATGTGTGCCCTCCAACTGAGTTCCCTTTAAGCTGTGCAACTGTTTATTTAGCCTCGCACAGGCGATGCAGTAGGCCACGCCTTTCAACTGGATACAGCTATGCCCGCCCAGCCCCATCATCCCCATTCCCCACCCTGCTATGGCTGGAGTGACCAGGTCCCTGACCTCCCCAGTTTCCCCTACACACACCTGCACCCCAATCTCTGCTCCAGCACCACGTGAGCGCCCACACCCCCTGCCAGAGCCCTTGCACCCCAACCCTCTGTCCCAGCTAGTGCTGCCAACTCTCCCAGACCACATACCATTTGTAACAATAGCATATGGTCTGACCAAGTTGGCAACCTTAGTCCCAGTCCTGAGCCCCTCATCCCTGGCCTTATCCCAGAGCCCACACCCCCACCCAAACCCAAACCCCTTCTACTTTAAATCTCTGTCCCAGCTGTGAGCCCCACAACTCCAGTCCCACCGCAGAGCCTGCTCCCTCAGCTACAGCCCTCACCACTCCTGCATCCCAATTATCTGCCCCAGGCCTGAGCCCCCTCCCATACCCAGAACCCTTTGGCTCCAGCCCACCACATGAATTGTTATGTGCACCAATGTGGAGGACATGTGTTGCAAATCACCTCCATATTGGTGAACAACAAAATTCATTCCCCTCAGGGTGGGAAAAAGAGGGAACTTGAAAATTTTTATTTCTTGTTCCACTTTTGATGTAGTTTGTCTTGCACAAAATAGCTAGCCTAATCTGAAAATAAACAAAAAGTTAACTTTGGTTCAATAGCAAGGAAAGGCCCTACTATGGCACTGCAGTCCTTGTTGGATAGATTTAAATTTAATTCCATATAAGACAGACAGATTTAAACCTAAATAAAGAGCAATATAACGTCGTAGTTTACCTGGATCAAAATTGTCTCCAAATATTCTTTTAGCTGGAATCTTCAGGTTCATAGTAGGAAATTGTTTCTTCAGCTAAAAAACAACCACCATATGGGTACTTAGATATTTGGACTCCAAGAGGAAAAAACCTTATAAATAATTGCTTGATGTAGGCCTATTTTACTCTCAGTTTAAGGAGATTAAGTATTGGGAAACTGACTACAGGCACTCCCCAAGTTACGCGGATCTGACTTAAGTCGGATCCACAGTTACGAACGGGGCTTTTCTTGCCCCGGAGGACGGGAGCGGCGGGACATCCAGATGCGCCGCAGTCCCACTGCCCGCGTCCTCCAGGGCGAGAAAAGCTGCTCCGCGTCTCCCTGGTCTGCTGGGGGGGGGACGCTTTTTTCCGGCTTTTCCCCAAGCCGGAAAAAAGCGGCGGACATCTTTATTTAAATCCCGCGGGGGATATTTAAATCCCCCACGGATTTCCCTATTCCAAAGTTTAAAATTAGCATGCCCCTTTCGAAAAAGGGGCCAGTGGAGACGTAGCCTTAATGTATAGGAAGTGGGGGTGTGAATCTACCATGCTCCACCCTTTTGAAAATGAGGGAGAGCAAAGCACATTATGGGAATTTTAGGGCCTGGCCACAGGAGCCACACAGACACATGGTGCATGTGAACAATTGCAGGATAGATTTATACTCCAATTTGGTGTGAATTAAGGGTTGGTGTGGACAAGCTCAAAGCCCTTGGAGGTGAATGCCATAACAGAGACACCGGCTTTGATACTGTGGGCTCTGGTTGTTTAAGACTGAAAGGCCGGGTTGGTTCCGCAGTGCCGCTCCTTTTTTTTTTTTTTTTTTTTTTTTTATTTTCTTTTTTTTTG